GTTGCAATCGGTGCAGAACCCAAATGGGAAAAGGGGTTGACCGCTATTAGTTTATTTTGTTTGCTTTCGCAAAGTCAAGATTAATGATGTTGGCTGAACTTGGGGGCTTCCACAGCAGTGACTCTGATCTATTTTAAATAGCCTAGAGTTATAACCACTACTCTTGCCTCAGTTATATTTATTTTTAGTGTTATAAATTTCAGTACGTTCAGTTGCTTGATGAACTGTCCAACATGTGCCGTAACTTCTATCTGGATGTTGTCTCCATATAGATGTCTTTTTACAAAGCCAGCCAATCGAAATAATTTTGTAATCTACGAAAACAGGGGTTCGTGCGAATAACTGTCATAACGGAGAAGATAGAGCCTCAAACTAGAGCGAACGCACTTGCCAGAATTCACAGAGCCGTTTTTTCGCCTCCCTACACTCTAACAATTGATATTGATTGCAATTTTCAGCTTCGATGAATTTTCAAACCGTTGCTTACGTAAGATTGCTGTCTAATATTAATCGGAATTTTTATACAGGGTGTTTCCTAGTGATGACTGAATATTTAGAAAAAGTTTAACTTTTATTCCTACACTAGTTAGTGTCTGATCTACCATATTGTTTGCGGACTCCCAACGGTTTTGTGGATTTTCTTTTCTGTTTTTGTTCCAATCAATCACTTTTTTGGTGTCTGTTCAATTAATCTCCTGTTTCCAATCTGTTGTTCCCTTTGTGCAACATCTCAAAATTTTCTGAATTTTCCAGTGTGCTCATTTCTGTTGTTGGTAGGGTCAGTTTGCTTTTTAATTCTTATATATTGTTACTTTGCTTTTTGTGTTAACAAATTCATTATCCCAAATCTCAGTTCTTTAACTATCGAAGGCTTGGACAAACCCTTCTGTGCTTACTCCTTCGTTTCCAGATGATTCGATGGTACAATTTTCCAATTCCACTGTTCGATGGATTTAGTTTTGGATAAATGGAAAGTCTACATAGATATTATGAGTTCCCTTGACCTCACGATACGTTTTGTTTTCTATTCTGATTAAATCTTCATATTCAATTTTCTGGTTGCCTTGGGCATTGCAAATAGAATTAACTCTCGCTTTCTGCAGTCAAGGCGATATTGCCAGCGTAGGATGGTGGTGGTATTTCTCCAACAGTCAGACACTATTTCTTACTGGACTTTTTCGTTTCGTTCGGTATTTTGTTTATTATTAAATAATAACGCAAAATAATAAACTAAACAATCAACTAATGAAGGAATTGAGCTTCAAAGTAAGAAAACAAGTTCAATTGCAATCGCTGTTGCATTATCTAGTTCGAAAGTACATTGTGCGAATTTATGCTCTACACCCAACTATCAATCCCAATTGAACCAGCGTACAAACGAGCGACTTTTATCCATTTCTTAAATGCTATTTATTTACAACTTAAAACGCTGTCAAAACGATGAAATCACAGAACAAGATCGCTCGGAGACCTTGGTAATCCGATATTATCCATGAAAATGCCAATTCAAACAAGAAAAACTTTCGGTAGAAATATAAAAAATGTCTGTGTACTTTCTTGTAACAGGAACTGATCCCACCTAATCTTTGATGCGCTATCAAGTTTTATACCATAATTCCGAGGCATAAATTTAATGATCCATGTAATCCGAAGTATTACAGTTCTAAGCTCAATCTAAGGGAAATTAATGCATTAGCTAATTTTCTTGTCGCGTGTTCTTCGCCAACCATTTTCGCTTATGCCTGATATCAGCATGTATAATGTCGCATACTTTTGGGCCAAATTAAACTGTATGGAGCATCAGAAACATTATATGCACTAAATAATGTTCGGTTTTTGTTCATTCAAAAAAAAAGTTAAATTGAGCAGTATTAAAGGGAGGTGTAGAAAAATGCCAGCGCTTCGAGGGACACTAATAACGCAAAAGTACCCTAATTAAATTAGGTTAAATATCGTCAGTAACACCCATAAAATCAAGACCATAAAGGAGCTTCTCACCTTAGACAGGGAAAAGTGTGCAATAAATGGTTTACGATCCGATAAAACCTAATCCCATAATTGATAAAAATTTATTGTGAATTAGGATCCATACATTTTTCGGTTAGATAGAGAATATTGCCCAACGTCAGGTTGTAAAAATGTATTATCAATTTAAAAGTACTTATAATGGCGGATTTATTGTTCCCGCTCTGACATAGCTTCCCATAAATAAATGTAATTAGCACTCAATTATTTAGTCATCGCTTTTAATGTAGCTCAACTTGAACAATGATTTGTAGTGGTGTTATGAATTAATCACATTGATTCTTAACTATGTAGCGGCTTAAATTGCGATGAATGCCCAATAAAACTGAAAGAAAAAAGTTTGGCTTCTGCAGTCATTACTTGAAATTGAAGAGTTTTTAGGAATTTTAAGTTTCCGTGGGAAATAATTTTTCTGGGTGTTTTTTCACAACGTTTTGGTTAGTAGTAAGAGATTTGAAATCCGAATAAACTATTCTAAAAGCCAAAGCTCAGTTTCAAGCGAAACGACACTAGAAGTCCGAATAAAGCATTATTTAAGCCACTTGCTGTTTGTGGTTGCGTAATGCCAAGAAGAAATTAGTTTCCTTATTGAAACAAACTGGGAGAAAAATATAACAAAGAGGGAATATCAAGGAACAAATATTTGAAAAACCGAAAGGAAGTTGGGAGCTTCCAGCAGTGTTTACTAATGTCTTAAACAGGCATATATAATTGCTATAATTTACGAAAAGCAAAGTGTAATTGCTAATATTACAAACAGCGGAACGTGTGGAATTGAATGCGTTGATGATTTATTGGATTGATTAAACTTTGACATCATTAACAAAATTATCAAAGTCATTTGATTAATGACACACAACTCTCGTGACTCTCTACACCTGTACTGAACATTTCAGCCTATTTTAGTTGGAAACGCATCTAAAACTTCAGCCAATTATTTTTTTCCCAGCCAATTAGTCTACAATATTTAATTCTACTTGATTCTGAGAACCTGGGTAAATTATATACCTAATGTATAAGTCCATAATTAACCATTTTTTTAAAAAACGTTCCTTTATCATTTTAATCATTTTGATTGATTATTAATGCAATTTCTCGAACCCACACTTTTTACTTTTCCCTGTACGACACAGTTTAATTGCTGATGCGATATTTGATTTTCGTCTATCGATCATACTTAAAATTATCTGAACGTTTTATGGCTTTGTTTATAACATTCAGTCAAATTTCGGGCTAAGAATTCAACAGTTTTACATTTCGACAAATTATTGTCATGAACGTGACAAATCACCGTACTAATTAAACTTGCCACTTTGCCTTCAACTTAGTTTGTTAATGATTAGAGTTTTGCTTCGATAAAAGGTGGCCCCTTCCTCTACCTCTTGAAGGTAAAAAACGTATATACAAAGGGCAGTAACGATAGGAAAAGTTGTAAAGCATTTCATAATGTTTGCCACAAGTGCAAGCGAAACGTTTAGCAGAAGTTTGACTGGAAAATTTTACTGTTACTCTCTAAACTTCAGTTCTTAATCTTCTAGAACGTTGATTTTTGTATGTGCGATTTACATAAAGTTCTGCATAGAAGGAATATAAAATAGAGCATCGTGGACTTTCACAAGTCTCTTAGTCTTCTTTAATATGTCGCCCACACTGACTGAGAAACATCCACAGATTATTTCTTACAAAAAACCAATGCTTAGGAGTTAGTCGTTATTTAGAGTAAGATAGATCAGCTGATTATACCTTTAAAAGGAAGAAACATGTAAGGGATTCAGTCGGAAACGAGTATCTTTAGCCAAAGGAAGAAAAATAATTTTTGATTCGCTCAATTAAAGATATTATACCAAACAGTACCTAGATTAGGAAAATATAACTGTTCGCATAGGAAGATTTTCTCATAATGTTAAAGTTTCGTAACAAAAAAAGTGAAGTAGGTACTACTAATAAAGCTCTCACAATGAAGACTTCCTGGAGGACGCAAAAACTTCATTCGATTCAAAAAATTAAAACATATTTTAGGATGATGAAAAGTGAATTCCCAATCTTTTAAAATCCTGTGGTTCGCTCAAAAACATTTGTTTTTGAGGATTTCGTCTAGGGGCTGCAGAGTATTAAGCTTTCAGGGTCAAAAAATATTTAATTTCAGTTTTTTAAACAGGTGAATCTTTTCCTAGAAAAAAGTTTGAAAATATGGAGATTCTTCCTAAGGACTAATTCGAACTTAAGTTTAGTTCCTTTCTGGTTTCTGGTTATTCGTTGCTCTAAGGAATTATCATTTTCGCCCAGCTTTTAAAATAAATTCGTGCTGTAGTCCAAGGCGAAATAAAAAGCGTAAAATACATTATCCTCGATTGAAATTGTAAATTAATCGATCTGCTGATCTGATCTGCAATCTGATGTTAGATTTGTACATTTGGGGCTTTTTATTAAATTTCAATGTTGTTTTTCATATTGTGTTTTAATCACTTCTGCTGTAATAGAAGCAAATGCTATAACTATTTCAAGAGATACAGTAAACAATCGATGCTGACAAGAATCTAATATATTTTTTGTATGAACGAGTTGCCACTATTCCTAAAGCATTCTTACTATTCGTCGTTCAAAGCTCACATAGCTTTGATCGACTTTCGTACACTTATATTCTAAGCGCATGCAATTAGGAAATAAAAATCTTCTATGAGCGTAATTTTTTAAATACGCATACCTATCTGAGAATATGATTTTAAGTTATCATTCAAATATAAAAATATTGAAATTGTCTAATTATAAACGAGTTTAAATTATTTTTAGAAGTTTGTTTCTGTATTAAAATACCCTAAAATAAAACTTGGTCATTGAATGCGTCATCCTTCTTTACTCTTTAATACAGCAAACGTGCTTGTTAATATCAAAAACTTGCTCTTCAAGAAATAGTGTTTAAAATTCAAATGAGCTGACCACAAGCGATTAAACCTATCAACTTAGAACGTACTCACCACGTTTCAGTTTCTCCAGTGGCTCATGGTGTAAGGAAGGAGTATGCGGTACCACTCCATGATGATGATTAGAATCGTGCGATGTAACATGATGTCCGAGGGAACCCGCACTCATAATGCCAGAAATGGCCGAATTTACCGATACCGCCGAACTAACCGAATCGTGCAAATGATGAACGCCATGAATATCGGAATTGGCCGACGAAGTGGTAACTCCGGTGACCAGTTCTTGCAAGCAAAGAGCCGGATCGGACAGCTGCTCTATCCTATCCATGAGTCTGAAGCAACCGATGCTGTCTAGAAGAGTCGTCGTGAAGGCTGTTTACTGACCTCCGAATAACATTATTCACTAACCTGAAACAGAAAGAAATCGCTCAGTTCCCTCTAAAGAAATCGAACTCTTCAAAGTATAGATAGAAAACTGAGGTTTTGTAACTTATGCAGCAAGCACAAACTAGTGGATATTTACAACTGCTTCAAAAGCTCCATTTACTTATATATACATTTTTTGCATGATTCGTAAGAGATTTTCTTAGTCCACATTTTGCTTTCTAATTTATAATGTACGTGCTAAAAGCTGTATTCAGTAAGAATTATGAGTTTCCACTGTCACAAGCACTAGTTCCAAGAAAATTTTTAATTTTTATTTTTTTATTAGCATTGGCACATTTTTCTTTGTCCTATTGAGTCCTAACTCAGTGTCTCGATATAATTTGAAAATATGTTGCAAAATAACATCTCTATATCACGTATTAGTACCTATCTCTTGGTAATTCAGAAATTACCACTGTTCTTGATTTTGTATAATTGTCATTAATAAATCCTACACATTTTACTCTATTTTTAAATTTTTTAATGTGTTCTTTGCTGGAAACGATTTTTATTTGTTTTATAAAACATAGGTATGTTTTTCACATGCACTCTGCTCTGAATCTATGGCGGTATTATGCATTTGCGAATTATTATCAAGACTTTTACTCTGCGTCATTTACATACTTCGCTATTACAGTTTATTTCATTCTTCAGAGTACGTTTCGGTATTTTTCTTTCCACCATCATCAGTTAAGTCCAGTCCAAATTTTGGTTTGATTCTCGTTCTCATTCTCATTGAGTATCAAACCAAAATTTGGCGTAGCAACAACATATACACAATGAACTGATGATGGTGGAAAGAAAAAACACCGAAACGTACTCTGAAGAATGAAATAAACTGTAATAGCGAAGTATATAAATGACTGAAACCCAGGAAACAAATTTGTATTAATAATTCAAATACCAGTTTTATTTCCAGACTTTGTGCTCAGATTTTACTATCTTTGGATATTTGCCTGCGAGTCGATTAGTACTGAACTTAAAAATATTTACACCAAATACTTTTAACGTCCGCTCGAAATTGGGACTCCAGACGAGACAATTGGGAGTTAATTTGCAAAAAAGCTTTTGAAACTGCTTTCAATTTAGCCTGAATTGCCACTTACTAATATTTAAAATAAACCTTTATATTGAACCGCCCATTTAGCTGGCCTTTAAATATGAATTAATTCCAGTTCTCAAGTGCTCACATGAAAAGTCACGTATATACTCAGAAACTTCCAAAATTACATGGCCATTAGATACAAAATGTATGCGATTGTCTAGACCAACTGATTCAAAAAATATTCTGTGCTTATTTGTCAGAACAATGTGAATATTGATAAATTAGCAAACAGAAGAATTATTTCGACTTGATCGTTAATGTATCAACTACATTGTTCCCTTTTGGTTAATGTGAGTGGACGAAATGCAGCTTAATAAATAAATTCATCGATCAATCCAAGTGGTCTTCCAACAGTTCCACAGAAAATAATGGTTTTTATTATTTTGAGCTTTGTCTTAAGAAACAGAGCTTATTTTGTTTAATATGTGCTGATGTCTATTAGATTAGATTAGTCCCAACTAGGGTCATTCTGCTGTAGTGATCTCTCTCACTATCAGTTGTGTTCACCGCTGAATCGACAAAGATAAAAGATAAGGCTTGCAGGTATCAATAACGAAGAGAAAATTCACAATTTTTTAAATTTAAAACAGCCACGACTCAGTTGTAAACAGTTAATGCAACGGCGAGATTATTACAATAAATGTTATTAAAATAATTAGAAGAAACAAGCGACAAGGAATTTAAGCAAGAAAAATTAACTGATAGTTGAAAATAATTTCTGCTGATGGACTGTGGGCTTAACACTGAAAATATTTTTGCTTTATAAAGCGTGCAACAATCGAATAATCAAGCATTAAACACTAATCTGAAAACTGTACGGTCCAATGTTAACCTAATAAAATAACAAATGTTTTTTGCTGTTTTATCAAATGATAAGAACGATTATGATGAAATGAATAAATGAGATAAAGAAAATTCTACTTGTCACTCTCAGTCAATTTGCGTGGTCAGAATAGACAATACTAATTCAAGATAATACGCAAAACTTAACAAAACTCAACTAAGCAACGTTAAAGTGTGCCAATGCACGTTGATAACCAGAAAATTGCTTTAAATTGATAGCACTCTACTTGTTTCCATAATATCTTAGTTCACGTCTTACCTATAAAACACGAGTTAATATCTTGATATTAGAGTATTTCACCAAAAAAAAAACAATTTAAACACAATTCGTTAATATAAAATTTTCACTTCCATCAAATTCTACTTTAGGTACAAGATTAGGGATTAGCAGTGGATTAAAGATTATCGAACAGTTTATAGCGAATACAATTGAGATAAACAATTTATCAGTTGGATATAAGACTGATATGGGAAGTAACACGTAATTATACTTGTAAACAGGTATGTTCCACAAATTGATCAGATTATGCCGAGTATTTGTTTTTCTTGAAGTATTGCCACATGGACAAAAAAGTTTCAGACTTTACCAAAATGAAGAATTTTGACTAGAAGTTTTCTCTAAACCAATGGTTTTTAATGATAATTGAGTTGAAAAGTGACACGCGCCTACAAATAGAAATGATCCATTAAAATTAAAACTATCTAATCAGTTTGTAATTATTAACTAGCCACCTTATTTTCAAAAGTGTAAATTTCAATGCCGATATAATCCCTGGATTTCGGAGATATAATGATGAAACAAAGTTAACCACAAATGAAATTTTAGAGTAATTATTTCATAAACCCGTCTGAATTTAATGTTCCCAGTAAGCTTATCGTATGACATATAATTTTAAGTGATAAGATTAATAACAAATAGTTACCTGCAATCAAGCGTAGTGAACATATATACTGGAGAAAGCGTTTTTAGAGCTTTCACTAATCGTGATGGCGGGCTATTAAGTACGATTTTTTTACTACAATAAATGGATATTTGCTTGGAAGTAATCTTCTAAATCTAAGCTAACTCACACAGTTAGCTGGCGTTTAGACTACTCGCCTTCAGAGATAATGGGATTCAAATGATTTTTTTGGGCTAATACCTTAAATTTATTATAATTAGTTGAACCAGCTAATTAGCTTATTTTGAAAGTGAGTCCAATTCTCAGCTATATGCCGCATAATGCAGCTAATTTGTGGATTGGGATTTAAGCATTGCTTAGGTGTGTAGATTTACAGTTCAATACTTGCGGCAGTAAACGATTTTTTTTTATAAAGTTAATACCGTCATATTAAAAAAAACGATGAGAAATAATAAGAGGAGCAGAATGCAGCCGACAACAACTAACTAACGAAGTTTTAGAGTTACTCATATTATGTGAAATCACCAAACAAACACAAATTAATGCGATTCAAGTACGTAAATTTTAATAAGCAAATTATTAAATCTAAAGTTTTGTGGTTGTTTAACTCACTTGCATTAAATGACAAAAATAAAATTATATGAAGCTCTACAGTTACCAATAATTTTAACTTCTTCACCAACAGTTCCCTGATCTGAATCTTTGATTCAGCAATCATTTGCAAAATTTTAAAAATGTATTCTGGTATAGTTTGTCAACAGAAATATGCACGATTTATTAATATTTGATGTGCATTCAAACTCAACGTTCAAAATAAAGCGGAGGTTTTAGTTGCTTTTAGTTAAATAGGGCTTGGTCAATTTCTCTCTTATTTAATTTTCCATGCAATTTTTCACAATTCGCACTATCAAAAATGTCACACACTAAAATTTTCCCGTTCTTCTCTCTCTAAATATGTCCAAATTAAAAAAATTGTTTGAAAAATGAACGACTGTCTTTTTTACAGCCCGTTTCTTATTTCTCAATAGATGTGTTGCTATCCTTAACATTAGACATATGGGTTTAAGATTATTGGGAAAACCACATTTAGCTCTTCCAGTATGCCCAAATAAATATTTTTCCTCGCAGCGAATTCGCCGGAAATGTGAAATGGTGTGGCCTGCGAGAAATCCCGATTTAAACCCACTGGACGAAATAGTCACAAATAAAGAAACGGTTTTACCAAGAAGAAATTGCTGTAAAATGTTTCAAGGAATTTGAAGAAAAATCTATTAAGTCTACAAAAATATCTGGTAAGGCTTATAGGTTTTGGCGTATTTTTTTAAGGGTTTATTGAAGGATTTTTAAAGTATATAAAATAATACCAAATAAAAAACTTACTGGATTTATAAATAAAATGTCAATTGGAAAAATGCCGAATCTCTAAAAGTAAAGGATGTAATTTTCACAAACAATTTCCAAAACGTGTTCCCAAAAACGATAAGTGTCGAATCTGCAAGTTTTCTTTTTTTGGGAGATTTTATACAGATCAAATTCGGAGTGTTGTTGTTCAAACAATAGTGTATTCAAAAACGGTCAGCTGGGTCTTTTCCTTCAAAATTAATTACCAATAGATAACTAGATAACGAATAGATGCTGGCATTGGTATAGAGTAAGTAAATTGTCAAATAACAGAAATATTCGCTCTTACTCTTCCTTATATAAAATTCAGTTTATTTCTAAAAAACTTTATAAATTACTACCTATTTTTCTATTTTCAATTTTACATTGTTTTTGATATTTTTCTTGCAGTTTATTCGAATTAATTTCGTTGTTTTTTTTTAAATAACGGATAAAGACGCGATACAACTAATGACGGAAAATGAAAATGAATATTCGTCATAAAATAGCTATAAAAATTATCAAATTCGACGATTCGGACTGTTAGAGTCATTGAAAAAACGAAGATAAGCAATGCAATAATAGAGCTAGGAAACTAGTGAGGGTTGTTACGCTCGATGAAACTGTAGAGAAAATCGATTGAACATTTTAGACAGTTCAACGGTTTCGATTATAATGTGCAAAATATTTACTTGGCAAGAAATGATCACTTTAATGTCCATGTTACTATAAAAAAACAATTACACGATGCT